AAGTAGTGAATCTCAACTTCTGCTTCAGTAAAATTCATGTAATGCAAGGATTTTTTACTGACGGATGCGATGCACGACCAAAAGTGACGGACAAATTCACAGCAGGGTTCAACTGAGGCTATAGAGAAATATGCGAGGAATCCTCAACGATGTTCTGTTGGAAATAAACCATACGCACTTAAATAGCCCGCTGTATTTACTTTGTTTGCAGTTGCAATTGCAACACGAGCATTCGTTTTTCTTTTCATATATGCAACATATGAAACAAGCATAAGGACGTAACCAGCAGCCCGAGCCTTGCACCGGAGTGATACACTTTCTTTTCATTCATCTTCAGCGCAGCTCGAAGAGAAACCTCAATGACGAAGGCAGGGCTAACTGGTTTCCCACCAAATTCTTCGGCTTCAAATATTTTGTTTCAGAAGGGGAAGACGAGTCCCTTAAAAAATCCAGCAGCAAGTGGTCAGCTGTATTGGTACTCTATCTCAATTGCGAGTTCAAATTTTTCGGGGACGTAATTTTGTCATGAATCCGCGAATTTTCCAGCATTTCGATGAAAATATCTTCATGTACCCTGATTTTTTCGTTGTTGTTTTGAACGGCTCCTAAGTAGTGAGTCAGTTGAATCCCAAAAGGACAGGCATGGTGTCCATACCATTCAGTAGCCGCCTACTGTCAAGATGAAAGGGTACCCTAAAATCCTGGATGTTGCAATTTCACCGTTCGTGCTTAGGTTTATACTATGGTGAAAGTAATCTGGCCTAAATTGTCAAAACTTTGCTTATCAATTTTGTCGAAAGCTTTTACAAAGCCTTCTGATAGATTCGCTGGATCGAAGCTTTCGTTTCTGAGTCATTTTCTGACTTTGGGAAATTCAAAGTTGTTCCGTGCTCGAAAAATTTTAAAGAATCATCATTAGACCAACAAATCTGCTCCGGTNACGATGCTCGCGCTTCTAGCCCTTGCAGCATTTCTATCCCACTCAATATCATCCAAAATTAGTTTTTTTCCGAATGATGAGATTAACGTGGTCCATATTGCCATATCCGACAAAAATTAGCTCTGCCCTACATACGCAAATAAAAATACTCCAAGTTTTTTGTCCTCCAAACAATGTTCACGTACACGCCATCGCAACGCCTTTGTCAAAATCGGCTGTGCAAATTGCAAGAATATGAGCCCTGCATATAGTGCAGATGCGAAACTTCTTAAAGCTACATCCAGAAATAAGGATAGGATCTTCGAAATGCTGCTGAGTGATGTTCAAGGAGAAATACCTGACTAGTCTACATCCATGATGAAGGAGTTAATCAACCTCATCTTCGCAATAATGATTACATAGCTAAGCTTGAATGAGTTTTTGAATTCTTTAAATGTCTTTTCCAATTTGTGACCGTCGGTGGCTGGCCCACTGTGAAAAGCAACACAAGCGGCTCGTAAAGTCCACAAGATGACTCCCTAGATGTTTCCAAATTGACGAATGATCTATAAAAGAAACGATTGCCGCGGATATAACAGAATTAATCGTAGACGGTCATAGCGTCTGCTTCATCAGCTTGTCAAACGCTGTAGAAGAAAAATTTCTATTTTCCAAAAGTCATAATGCTATTCCAAGGAGAATCTTGCCTCTGCTATTCGCATCACATCTAGGTGGAGTCTGAGGATTTGTGCCCGATTAACTAAGATTTAAGTGATATATTCTGCTGCAGTGGTGATATCTACAAAAGATTGAAAGAGTTACAGCTGTTTCGAAAAATGTCAGTTTTACCTGAACCTCGCCGAAACCACTGGAACATTTCTTGAAAGAACTATAGCGTCAGAAAGGATAATTTGAAAGGCCGCTTCGGTAGTGGACGGGTGGTATAGGGGAAGGCTCACTGAAGCATAGGAGTAAGAGACAGAAACGAAGGCAAGAAGGTCTTCGAACATGTTTCATAACAACCCATATCAACTGTCATCCTTCCACATTTCCCGAATTTCAGTCTTTCTTGTATTCCCCGTTCTTTACCATTTTCACATTCACAGTTACTGTTTCCACTTCTTATTCACGAAGTTAGGGAANTTTGGCACCAAAGTAGAATTTTAGCGTGATGACAAGTATTGTTGCTTCTCCCTTTGATGCAAAACTAAAGGAAAATAGTGCCGCTTCTCACCTGCTTAAGGAAAGTTATGCATGAAAGTAATGTGTTTGCTTTATCGATAGTCACTGTTGCATATCTGATTGGCATTGGTAATACATATGTGGTCCAACTGTATCATGATTGATGTTCTTTCTTTTTTTTTTGCTATCATAGTCTGGAACAGATAAAATGAGCACCTGATAAGAAAATCAGAGATCTTGTTGTATTTCGTAGGATGCTTCCACCATCCTACAAAACACAACAATATCTCTGGTTTTCTTATCAGGTGCTCATTTAATCTGCTGTATGTTGTTTCCGTATTGCACGTAGCAGTTTCTAGCGTCTACCCCATATATAAGATCGTTCTGGAGGACGCCTCAAAAGTTACCTTCACCCCGAGGCCGATTCTTCGTTTCATTTACTTCCGCCACTCCGCCTATACGTTGATATTACCTCAGCGCAGCCTATAAACTCCTGCCGGCCAGCAGGGTTTAACAGTGCACTGCGAAGTTATCGAAAGGTCATATCTGGGAAAAACCATACCTTTCAAATTAATGTAGTCTCCAAGAAATGTATTCGCTCCTGCAGATTGTTTTAAGCCCTACCATGCCCATAGTCTCTGCGTGTCAGTTCAGTTGTTGTCCTCGCCAAACACTACTTGGTAATGAGTAAAAGCTTTGGTTGTTCTCAATAACGCTCTAAGCAGCACAAACACGGGTTCGAGTCACGTCCAAGACCAAAATTTTGTTCATAACTCGCTAACCTTTTGAGTTCTAAATATCTTCAGCCTCTCTGAACGGTGGCGAGACATAGAGGACCATTCCTGTGAGTTGCTTTCAACCACTCACTCACCGCTCTCACTGACTTTAAAGTTCTATAGAAGACAAAGGGAAAAGTCAATTTAAGACATTTCTGAAATCTTAGTTTCGTTCTATGAGCTCATCGCTATTATATTATTCACAAGCTAGTTCGAGACTTATCGAAAACTCAAAATGATTGCTCCATTCCGGCATGATTGCAGAGGAAAGCTGTGCCATAGTCCAATTCGGAGAATCATGTATGTTCTCGAAATGTAAAACGTATAATTCTAGCTCATCGAATCGAGATCTGGCGCCCACCCTGAAAGAGAGAGGTCACTTCCATCAATACTCAAACTATTACAGTAATAACAAGAAGAGTAAAGTCTTGGGAAACGTCCAAACATCGCTCATCGATACAGAGAAAAGCTTTTTCTTAAATGTATCAGATTTAATTCGTTATTAGCTTTTTAACGTACAAATACAAACAGTTATCAAAAAGTTGCGGCTGAGTAACTAAGAACCTTACTGCACAATTCACAAGACTAGAAAATGCAAGAGTCTTGAAAATATTGGGGTGAGCTTTCTGAAAATTTGCCAACACTTCGGTGAACTCTGAATCAATCTTTTCGGAATCCTTGAATATTGCTGGCGAGACTTTTTTGAACTGTAATACTTCCGATTTTCAGTTTCTAGATGAAACGTTGATATGTAGCCCACTCTTTTCAGGCTTGGTAGCAATGATTTTCTTGGCTGTCATTGCTGCTATTATCAGCTACTTCATCATCAAATTATGGGTCCAAAGGAGGAAACTACCACCAGGTTTGATATTTGACCTTATAAAAAACGGAGAAAGCTCGCCGAACTTCTCCTTATCAAATTTCGTAACCCGTGCGATAGGGGCGATGCAGTGCAAGTGGACCACTATCACACGAATATCCAAGGGATCGAAACCGGAATCGATGCCGACCTAAGTCAATCAAGACTTCCATCTTTCTATTGTAGGCTGATTGGTACGGCCTCCTTTGATGGTCTGGTTTACTAGGATAAAGCAATGGCCTATACATCGACTGTGCACCCCATATCGTTCTATGAGCCAAAAACGCATTGAAAACGCCACCACGATTTTAAATGGATGCGGGGGATGGAAGGAGAGGGAGGTCATAATCCGAGATTAATCAACACTGAAGATTTCCTCATTATTCTCGAAATCTCTGAATCTCTCCGAGAAACCACGGTAGGCCTAGGTGTGTGAAAAATCAAGGTGTCTGTATGTGTGTGTGTGTGGTGTGTGATTAATTGTACCTGTACATCCCGAACCGATTTGCTTCACTTAAAATGAGTCTGTTTCGGAGTGAGGCCCGAAATTCGTGACACTGAGCATTTCCGGAAGGAAAATGAGATGCACAACGAGCAGAATTTGGAAGAGGAGGTAAAACGGACCAGCTCTATCCGAGTTGAAAAGTATTAGGTGTTCTTAGATAAGTTATCTCTTTAAAAAAAGTTATGGTTACCTATGGGGATCCGTTTCATTGTGGCCCATGCGATTTTGTTCTGGACACAGAAGTTCTCTGACCTCTCCAAATGTCCCCTGAGTTGCTAAACTTCTTCTCGTTCAACCTCTTTTGTAACAGTTAGTTAAACCTCACGTCATAGCCTATTGGTTTTATACTACTTAGCACCGGCTCGAGGAAGGAATTGCGAAAAGTTCAAAAAAAAAAGAATCATCATAAAAAATAACTACGTTCGGTGATCAAAATGATTGCAGGTCCGCTCCCTCTTCCCATCCTTGGTAACTTACATCAGCTGGGTTACAAGATTTTTATCCAGAAAAAAAGTTTCATCGGAACGATTAGAGAGTGGTCTGAGGTACGTGAGTTGTAATTCTTTTTCCAGCATAGCGGCTTTATGCTTGGCCAGTGTTCCCAGAAGTTTAGAAAACTTTCCATTCCATAAATTCAGGAGTTTGGAGCACTGTACACCATTTGGCTTGGATCAATGCCAATCGTGAACATTTGTGACTATTCTACAGCTGTTGATGCAATGGTGAAGAAAGGCTCGGCCTTCGCTGACCGAGTTATTCCATACCTATTCACATTGTCAAGAAGTAGGTTATACTAATGGTCTATAACATCACCATTACAAAGGCAACTATTCGTGGCATAGTATCTGGTATCCGCACTTGTGGACCGCATTCAGAAGGCTGTAGAATGCGTACTCACCGTCTTCCTCACTGAAGATACATTCAGCGGTTTACTAGTTTGCAAGAAAGGTCTTTCGGGGTGCTCAGGTGCTTGAATCGGACAACATAGGACTTGAAGCGCAGCGGCGACATTTATCCCTGCATCTTCCCTTCCCACCACTGAGAATTAACCTGTGTGAAAAGAGGATGGTGAAAACGTCAAGTGATGGCCACAAAATCGAAAGCTCTCGTCGTTGCAAAAACGTCGACTTCATTTCGCTTGCCTTGTCACTTGTCATGGTTCCCTCTTTCATGGTGGATCCCACAAACCTCTGTATCCTCTTCCACCTACACATACTTGGGCCATATGCGAGCAGGGTTCAAAATAACGTCTTGCAAATTAACGATCAATTTGATTCTAACTTATAGATAATCGTTTTTGAGGGAGTGTTCCGAAAATTTTTGCCCTAATATTGTGATTTAGATGGCCGTGGAATAGTGGGTACAAATGGAGCTACATGGATGGAACAGCGCCGTTTCGCTCTCCACACTCTTCGAAATTTTGGTCTTGGACGGAACATTATCGAAGAGAGGATCATGTATGAATTCGAAATCGCGTAAGTATGCTTTTTATGGTTGTAAAAAGTAGGATTCTCTCGAAAGAAAAACGTTGGCTTGCAACAAGTTACCATATCTCGAATAGTCATAGAATTTTTATGACTTTTGTTAGATTACGTGCGAATCACCTCCAACCGCGTTTGGCCCTTCGGAAAAGACGATTGTGTGAAAACGTTAAGCCTGACCCAGCAAGTTGTCCCACATGAGAACCTAACGGCAACCTCTCACGGCAGAAGACAATCACTACTCGTTTAGGCTTTTCCTTGAGAACAGGACTCAGTTCTAGAAAAAAGTGTGCTCCTAAATTCCAAACTAAAACTAACCCGTGGCCTCCGATTGCGCCGTATGGGGGCTGTCTGCTCGAAAGCAGCCTGGACAGGAAGTAACAGAGGCGCCAAAGCCGACTCACCCGGCGTACACACCTAAGAATGGACGAGTTTCAAATGCGTCCAGGGCACTGTAATCCTCCTAAGGGACACCCATGTTGGATCTTTAAACAACAAGTCGTGATGCATGAAAAGGAGAGCCATTATTGTTCATTTTGACTCAATGTAAGCAGCTTCTCATGTAGCAATGTAATAGCAGCATTCCAGTCCAAGTACCTCCTCCATGCCATTTCCGTACGCGATAATCTCTACAGCTCACACCTTAGTACCTTTAAGGGGCTCTTATAGTCCGCCAATTCTGCTGGTCTTCTCGCTTCCTCCGCCACCTATACTCTACTCGGCGCAACACTCGCTTTTTGATTTGAAAAGATTACCACGAAATTATCCGGAACTCTGCTTCTAGGCAGGCCCTTTCGCAATAATATCCACAGAGCAGCTCAAGAACCATTTGAATGCATTTTC